TGTTTGTCTAGTGCAGGGATGTCAAAATTAGAAAAACAGAAGAAAGAAATGTAAGAAAAACAGGAACTCTTCTGTCATTTCATTATTACTCGATTACTTATTTACTTTGGTGTAGTCTGAATAGCCCAGAGAGGTCTTTATTAGTAGGAAAAGATGTCACACTTAGTGAAAAGTCCAAAATTTATGCTCTCCTTTACATTTTCCAAAGCAGTTCAGCGGGCCACATTGGAGTCTTTGTTGGGTTGATTCTGGCCACTTTCTTGCAACTTTGTGGTCACTCTTTGATTTGGGGTTGCACCTAACATTTATTTTCATTATCAGTCAGTAGTCTGGGAGTTATTTTTCTCTCCCTGCGCCAGCCACAGCTGTGGTTGAAGGTATTATGTTCCTGGATTGTCTCTGGATTGAAATCCTTTGAAGGCAATGTATCTCAGGAATGTCTTGTGAACATGAACTGGAAGTTATTAGAATTTGGTGATCAAACTTAATGTCTTTTTGACCTCATAAACACTGTTGGTCATAACCCAAAACTTCATAAGTTACCTTTGCCAAAAATGTTCCATACTTAACTAGTACAGTGGTGTCAAATATGTGCCCTGGGGGCCACAACTGTCTTGCAAAGAGTCAAATTCGGTCCACTAGATCGCAAAGGCAATGTGAGAAACTTGCAATTAACTGCAATTAATTTTTCAATAACATGCATTCTGATTATTATTATTATCACTTATTCTGGCAATGTCAGATTGCTAAATCTCATTAGGTAAGTAAAGTAATTTAACAAGATATAATGCTTTCTGTTGTCTGGCAAAGTTCTAATGTAATGGTATAAAAGGTTCTTATTACTTTGGCATATGGCTGTAAATATTGTTGTTCTGACCCAAGTGAATGCTTTCAAAATGTAATTCTCAACATGAAAGAAAGAGAAATATTATTTTTATTATGCAGTGATTTTACTGGTCCGGTCCACTTGAGAGCATTTTGGATAGTTTGTGGATCATAAACTCAAATGAGATTGACACCTGGTCTAATAGGAAACAAATGCAATGATATGAAATTCACTTTCACTCCAAAAAGGTCAGCTTACTGTGAAATCATGATGTTTGGCAAAACCACTTCTGACATTATCAAAACACATTAAATCAGGAAGACAACAACAACAACAAAAAAACCAAAACAAGATTTATAAGCTGATTATCTGATGAAATCATATAATCCTGTAGCAGTCATGTTAATTTTGATCAATCATTTAGACAATAAAACATTATAAAAAGGGACTTCTGAAGCAACATAAAAACTTTCATGTTTCTTCAACCACAATCCAAAACCAGCTGTTTTGAATAATACACAAGCTGATAAAAACATATAAGTTTTTATCAGCTTATATGTGCTTTTATTTATTTATGTTTATTTTTATGTTTTACTTTAAATGAAAAAAAAAAAACACCATAGATGTATATCTTGCTCTTGTTCTGTTTCTACAAATAACCACTAATTATCTAAATGATCTAAATGCAGATTGATTCTTTTCAGTTCAGCTGTTGATCATATGTTACAAGATCTGTTCTAATTGCTAATGGAGGGATTTTTTTTCTGATTATGGTGACATTTGTGTTATACCTTAAAATAAAATTACCATACTAATATTACAACTTTTATGCAAATTTGTCAGCATTTGATGGACAGTAATTGCACCATAATCACTCGCAATAATTAATTGTATCTAGTTGTCTAGTTTCAGTCATTGCAATGACAGGCAGCGGTCGGTTTTAAATAAATAGTACTGACAGGCCTACAGGAACAGAAATAGAGCACATGAGCACGGAAAATGTGCTACAGAGAAAGTGATTTATATAGCTCTCCATATACTCTGTTATGCTCTCTCTGCCATCAAGCATGCCTCAGTGGCTTGATATCATAAATAATGTTCAGTGGGAATACATAAATGCATGAATAACACCGAAACAAACAAATAACATGGCTATGGCATTGTCATATATCTACAGTGTTTCTAACCATATGCAACCCAAAGCTGACCAAAAGAAAAAAAAAGAAAAACATAAAAAATAATGACCTGTAACCTGAAAAAAACAAAAAAAACATTCATTTCATTTTGTAGGGCTTTGCAAAATTGACCACAAGGGGGCGACAAATTGCAACGACTATATTTTTTCTGGCCAATGTTTCAGTAGCAACACCGAAAATTCAAGGAGGAATTTGAAAGTAGAGATTAATTTCTATATTACTGACGACGGAGTTTTATTTGAATTGATCGGCATGAACTGGTGTAACTGGAAAGAATTAGAATTTTGTTTGAACAGTTCAATAAAAACACAACCAATCACTCTCTAAGTTTGGATATCTCCTGGGAAGCAATATGAAATTTGGCATAAGGTCAGTGTGGGCTGTTGAATGTTTTTGAGCTTGGTAAAGATTATTGATTTTCTGGCCTAATGCCATGAGCAATGTATGTACCAGACATTTTAATGTGGCTGTTATCTAATTAAATTATAATGGCATTGCATTAGTATTGACGGAGAATATGTGAAAAACATTTTGCCCCCTTCCTGATTTTTTTTGTTTTTTCATATCTGTCACACTTAAGTGTGTTAATCATACAAATCTGAATATTAGCTAGCAATAACCTGACTAAAGACAATGCAGTTTAAAAACAAAAAGACGATCTCATTTATCAAGGCTATTTGGATGAAGGTAAATATAATTTGCTGATAATCTCAGTTCTATTTCACTAGCCACACCCTGGCCTGACCACTGCCAAACATGTTGAATAAAAAAATGACTTAAATCGAACCTGTCTGACAAAGTGAAGAAACAATTAATTAATTAATTAATTAATTAATTAATTAATTAATTAATTAATTAATTAAAAAATAGAGGATGGTCAAAGTCATTGCCATCTATCGGTCTGGAAAGCGTCACAAAGCCATTTCTACAGCTGGGAACAGTTGTGAATCTTTTGAGGAACCTATCAAAAGGGCACTAATGACTACCAAGACTACCAAACTGAATTAAATAATAAAATAATTACAAAATTACAAAATATAACAAAATAGCTTTAATAAATACACAGCTCTGATTATAAATAATCCAGGATATTACACATATTGTCCTTATCATAATGATTATCTCTATTGAGGATTTGATATTAAGGGTGTGCACTATGCAGTGTGTACTGTGCCCCAGCATGCAACAGCATGAGGCTAGCACTGGCCACAACAGACTAGCAAAGCCTCTGCATTATCCGACAGGTATTAAAAGACCTCAGCCACCTCAGAAAATAGAAACAGCTCTGGCCCTTCCTGTAAACTGCAGTGGTGTTTTAGCCCAGTCCAGTTTATTGTCAGTCCTGTGATTGATAGAACCATGAATTCTGCTCTCTACCAGAAAATCCTGAAGGAGAATGTGTGGCCATCAGTTCACACCCTGAAGTTCAAGAGCACCTGAGTTATGTACCAGGACAATGATACAATACACAGCAGCAAGTCCACCTCTGAATGACTCAAAATAATATTAAAATAAAATAAAATAAAATAAAGGTGTTGGAGTGGCTTAGTTAACATCTAGACTTCAATCAGGTTGAGATTCTTTGGCATGACCTTAAAATTCCTCCACACTGATGCTGTACATCATGTACTTTCATATATAACACAAGTTGTGTTTCCTCAATATTGTATTATGTGTTAGATTTTAGCACATTTGGTGCCTGAATAACATGGCGTGTCAGATCTAACACAACACGTGTTGTTTTGAAAGATTTTTTTTGGTTTTTGGGTGTGTTTTTTTTACACGTGTTAAAATTCACACAAAATGTGTTACACGTGGAACAAAAACGTCGTTTTTAACACGAGTGTAAAGCCTCGTCCAATGAAAGGACGGCGAGTCAGATTAAATCAGGGGAATAAATTAACATTTTACTGGATGTGCTGAAATCCAGTTTTGCGGAATAATATGTTAATGCAATTTTTTTATTTACTATAGAGCGATTGTTTCACAAAAGATGTTTGTATAGATACCTTACCTCAAATGTATTTCTGCACATTTATTTCACCTTTTAATTCATCCCAGTCAGCTTGTTTGCTCCGATGTGGATATTTACCCTTCACTGCCCGTGCATTGTCTTGGTCACGGATTTATTGTGAGCAGATTCCTCAGAGGCCACGTGATGGCGAAGGCGTTCCAGTTTACTCAGCGCATCACTTACTGACGAGAGGAGCGTTTCTGCGTCGTGATACCGGAATGTGGATATTTCACCTTTCAAAATAAGAGCAGATTGTTAATAAAGCAGAAGAAATGTGGCTGTCCCATGTAATGTGCGTGGAGTTTTAAATAGACTCGTAACATTGATGCAGATTGTGCCCATATGTCTCAGTGGGAAGCGTTTGCGTTTGGCAAAATAATACAAAGTAAGGTATTTCACGACCTCACATTGGGCTTTGGAAAGCTGGAAGTCTATGATTAATATCTGTTTCATTATTTTAACAACCGATTAAGTAATCAGAATCCGAACATTAACATACCGCACGCTAGAACTCTGAAACAACACAGAAGAGCTCTGCAGTCACACCTACAGGCCAGTGGTCACCCTTTCAGTGATGAAGATGTACAGATCCTGGACAGGAAGGAATGGTGGTTTGTGCAGGGAGTCAAGGAGGCCATTTAGGTGAAAAGGGAAAGACCATCTCTGAATCGCTGAGGGGGCATAAGGGTAACTCTTTTACCATCTTACAATGTGCGATTGCAGTCATGGCAATTTGATCATGAAACTGACCTCATTGTTAGTCACTGGTGCTATAGTATAGTTTCGGTCATTATGCCAATGTGCTGTTTATAAAGTCAGCTGAGACTGAAGGAGTCGCTCTCCAGTTCAGTGCGTGCGTGACGTTTCTCCCACTGAAAACACTACTTCCAGAAGAACAGAATCAACTTTCTTGGATTTCAACGTTTTGTTTTGAAAGGACTGATCGGATGTTCCGTTGATAATAGTGTATGTTTTGACACCGGTGCAGTGAGTGGCCTATTGAGCCCATTCTCTAAATAGGAGTATCTCCCAGGCGGACAGTTGCGGCAGCCTTCTGGCTCGGAATTTTTTTTTTTCATTTTCTGGATTTTTACATCACAGATAAATTCCGGGATGCCTTCAAGTAAAAATCTCCAAGGTAATAAATAAAATGGTTACGGACTGCCATGCCCCCCTTTAGCGGGCATCTGCTTATGTCTGTGGCTAGCTACAGCTTAATGTTAGTCTTTACAATAGAGCATCTCAGGCCGACCGGCTACCGTCCAGGCTAAGCCTGTGTTAGTATTAACCAGCTATTTAATAAAAATAACCTCACTTTCTTTTGTTCGGCAGGTGGAAAAGCCTTCGGGCTGTTAAAAGACCAGCAAAGGCAAAAACTGGAAGAAATAAACCAGGTACGCGTGTTCTCTTTATTTGCCACGAGCTTCTCTAACGGCACTTCACGGTAATTTGAATTTTAATGAGCTCGCGCACACTTGACTTGGCCTTGGCCTCGTTTTTCAGGATTCGGTGCATTCCCGGGTAACTGTCTCAGGAGTGCGGTGAATTAGAAATCAAAACGCCACTGTCTCGTGTTTTGAAGCTGGCCGTGACCATGCTGTTGATGATGCATTTTTATTGATTTCCCTCCGTCACCAACTGCAGGGTCTGGGGTGCACTTGTTGAATGGTTGCATGCTGTCACACAGCTCCGTGCTAAAGGACCGTGAACGTCTCCCTCTGTCCCGATTATATCAATGTGGGAAACGTTTAAAACGCGTTTCGTGCCGACGGGAAACAGGTGTTACAATGAGCTCTTTGTTTGACACGCTTCGTCAGCCGTAGTTTGACGAGATATCTGTGTAATCTGTTTTCCTCCTCTGCTTTGGATGTCATCAGCTCACTGCTGCGGCAAAATGTACACATATATGTATAAAAATAAAAAAAAGGCAGGCCACTTGGAAAGGAGCCAGTGACAGTAATGTATTTGCACAGCAGTCCCAGTTGCCACTACGCACTGCTTGTATTTATTTGTTCATTAGAGAAATGACCCCTGGTTTCTAAGCGGCTCTGTCTAAAAATATCAGTTATTTTGTGATTAAATCCAGGATTTTCTTTTGTTCAGTGACATCCATTTAATTCCGCTGTATTATCATGACTGCATCTTGTAGTTCCCGATCTCAAATCTCAGCTTCTGTGTTCTGTATTCTGGCATCACTCTCTATTATTTTTTTTTTTCTTATTAAGGCTCCAATAATGATGAACTAATAACATGTGCAAGATATGTAAACGTGATAAGGAAATTTTGGCACTATTCTTCTTGTTTTTCATGACCGAAAACAAAATAAAATGACTATAATTTGCTCATAGATGTAAAGTGTAATCCATATATCTGTATTTCGGTTTAACCGTTCCTTATAGATTTTCACGACTCATAAAACTGGCCCTCCCTTTGTTTACATAACGTAAATGACTAGCAGGACACTTCTGTGTGGGAAATTGCTGTGTGATTCAGCACAGCTGAGTCAGGCATCCCTGATAAAGGTCCAGTCGTGGTGTTTATCCTCTTTACACTTAATTGCAAGTTCGATAGACACACTGAGGTCAGCACGAAGAACAACGGCACGCTCTGTCGTTCTGGCTCTCGCTCTGTCCTGCAAGGATTGTGGATGACTCCCACACGCCATGTTGCATCATTATAATTTTATTACATTAGCTCCCTTCTGGCAGCTTTATACCCTTGCGAGGTGTTCCACTTAATGAACGCAGTGATAAGTGACGACAGTAAAGGGAGTCGTTGGTCTCCAGTTCAAAATTTGGACAGGACACAGTCAGATTTGGTGTGCTGAAAGTTCTGTTTATGTGTGGGGAATTCGCTGGAATCTAACAAGGAAGATGAAAAAGTAGTCCCAGTTTCATTAAACTTGTAAAACCTGTATTTTATGACCAGCTTCACTTTTGTTTTACCCCCTTCCTCTTTCTCAGGAGTACCTGGAAGACCAGAAATACAGTGATGAAGAAGACCTGGCTGAAAAGTTGGAAGGTTTCAAAAGTAAGAAAATCCAGCCCTTCCTTCAGCTGATGGCTATCTGCGGTGGTGTGGCTGGGGCTTTTCCTGGCTTTTGTCTTAGCTTAAATATTTTTTTACTTGGCAGGCAATACACACACACACACACAATCCTTTAGTCTTCAGCATTTTGTTTTTCCCTGTGGGAAAGACAGAATGCTGTGATTTCTAAAACATTTGTAAGGCCAAGTCCTTAGTGGCCTGGTAGGAATGTGCCGGGGCGTGACTCTGCTTGTTGTTGCAATATTCGGAGCTTTCCTGGGTAAACTCCTAGCTCCTGGGAACAGGAGTAAAAACATTGATACTTGCTGAATACAGGATTGGGTTGCACAATTTAGAAAAGAACTCCTTCCCCATTCCACAGATATTGCGTTTACATTTAAGGCATGTAGATTTTTTTTTTTCTTTTTACAGTCGGTGTGAGTTTTTTAATCAGTTTCACATCAGACCAAAAACGCAGTTTATTGTAAAAAAAAACAAAACAGCGGAAGTATTGAAATGAAGAAGAAAAGATGCTCCAGTGTCCTACTTACATTGCATGCTTGCTGGAGGAAATGGAGCAGTAATATATAAACAGAAATGGGACCAAGCACCAGGGTCCTGGGAGGTTTGCTGGGTCCCCCCCCCTGTCTTTTCCACATTGTCCCAGAGGCTTAAAGGTCACACTACTTTTAACTACCAGTCAGATCGACTCATTGCAATCCAGCACATGGAACAAAAAAAACCAAGATAAAATGTAGTCTTATTTTAACACTTACATAAAACCCAATGCAGGTTTGGTTTTGTTTTGTTTTTTTAATTAATTTTGCATATTCAGGTGACTCTATATTGAAGTTTTCATTGATTTGTTTGGTTTTTGGACACTTGTTACTACTTTCATGGCTGAATGTAGTTATTCCTATCAGTTAGTCACTAGATTAAATTAATCAGCCACAGGGTACTCAGGCTGCTGGCCTTATTAACATAAATGAAATCTAAAAAACATGAAAATATAGTGTATTAAATCACATTAACAAAGTTACTCTACAGAAATAACAGTTTTGGAGCTGACCAATATAAGCTTTCCAATATTAATATGATTTTTTAAAAATAGAGCTGTTTCAGCTGGTGATTTCAGCACTCTAACTAATGAGCAATAACACTAATAAGCCTCATGTTCTGAGCAATTACAACTGTGAATTTTTTTTCAGTTTTAATGAAAAATTAAGTTTTACACCCAGATTTTGGATGGGGACAATTTTTAGACCAAATATATCAAAGTGTTGATTCTATTATTCTCTCACACTAAGGCTACGTTCGCACTGCAGGCAAAAGCGCATCAAATCTGACTTTTTGGACACTATGCGACATATATCCGATCATAGTATGACAGTGTGAACAGCACAAATCCGATACTTTCAAATCCGATCTGGGTCACTTTCGTATGTGGTACTGAATCCGATGCATATCTGATGTTTTAGAAAGCGACTGTTGTGTGCGTGTGCGTGCGTGCGCGTGTGTGTGTGTGTGTGTGTGATGTCTTCTTTTGCGCATGCAGGCCGCTTTAGGGCCGTGAACGGTTCGCATTGGAGCGCGTTTGCTGTCACATTTTATTTGTAGTGTGAACAACCAAACAAAAAAATCGGATTTGATCAAAAAATCGGAATTGAGCATTAAGACCTGCAGTGTGAACAGAGCCTTAGTCTCAAGCATTGTACATACATAAATTGTACTCATCGGTACAGATCTTTTCTCCTTCTAACAGCAGCAGTTATCCAACAAATGAGTATTTGGTCAAATGAGACTGTGTTAACAAACCAGTCCACTAATCAACCTGGAGAGTACAGCCCTAGCTACTTCAGCCCAAGGGATTCACCGATGCAACTCCTGCCATGTCCAATACATACCAGTATCGGTGTCGAATCATCAGTACACACATTCATACCCAAGCACCCTGTCTAACATTTGTGAACACACTGCTGTGGAGAAGTGTCCAGGGAAACTCTGAGTTCAGTATCTTGAAGACTGGAGTAGCTAAGGAATCAGTCCATCAGTCATACCATCTCTACCCCCTGAACCACTGCTGCCCAAAATGAAGCGCAAAGAGGACAGAACGCATCAACCTGTGTCTGAGTTTTTCAGTCCCATTAACTCGATTACAGTTAAAAAGTTTAAATAAAACAAACTTCTGCAACCACAAATTCTAAAAAAGTGTAAAGTGTGCGTGTTAGTCCCCCCTGTTAGCTTGCCTGGTAATTGTGGCCACTTGGCAAAGTAAACACAGACTAATCTGGGACTAAAATGAAAAGATGGTGCTGATAATCAACTACTGATTGAGCTAAAGTATGTAGCCTGCATTTGCTCAGAATTAGTGTGCGTGCGTGCGCGCGCGCACACACACACACAAAACTAGCACTGTACCTCTGCTTAGAGTTCCACAGGTTGTTTTTTTTTCTCATCACTCTCAGACAAACCAAAAAGAAAACTGAAGTTGTGTTTTGGGGGGGGGGGGGGGTTGTTTTTATTTTGACTAAACAGAAGCTAATTGACAGTGCCATCTGCCCTGGGGGTTAGGGTCTTTTAAAGTGATGGGAAATCCTTGTGTTTATCTGTTGGCCAAAGTGGCAGAGGAAGTCAGTGCGGTCACCGTCCATTGCAGCTATTTTATCAGCAAGTCACCCTCCTTTTTTTTTTAAAAATGGAAAATCCCTTTGGATGAGCTGACTAAGTGGGTGGTAGACAAACTACTTTGTCTAAATCAAACTTACACTTCAGACCTCCTTATGAATGTCAGAGAAAAGTAAAAAATAAAGTATATTTAAGGCTTTCTTGAGAATTTGATGCCATTTATTTTCTAGCATCACTTGCCAAAAGAATTTGGGTCTGGAGGAGCAACTGAAAACTTGAGTTTTGTGCAGTTGAGCCGTTTTCTGTGGCTGCAGATGATCAACAGGCTGCGCTACGACAAGTGGCCCACTCAAAAACTGCTGTGTGTGTGCGCATGTGTGTGCGGAGGCCCACTCCTCAGAGTTTACGAACAGGGTCGGCATTGTCCCGTCCCACTCCCCACGGGTTCGCTCAGTTAACACAGTACCCTCTCTCTGTCCCTCCCAACACACACACACACACACACACACAGAGCTCCCATTGTAGTACAGAAATAGCAAGTGTAATCTGACTAAAGTGCTCTTCCAGGGAAAAGGGAACAGAAAAATTTAGGCAGAAGCGGAAAAATGTCCGCTTCCGAAGAAGCAGTCAGTTCATTGACATGTTTATGTTGTGCTTTTATAAGTGAATGCAAATCCAGTGGTTAGTAATTACTATTTATTCTTAAGCCTGTCTGTGGTTAAAAACCACTTAGATTAGACGATATACCAAGAGTAATCTTTAGGCCAATTCCATTTCATTCCATCCCAGTTTAGAAATGAAAGCTTTAAAAAAAAGCAACAGACTTTTTCAATTCCATGTTTTAAAATGTGTGAATTGTTTTCTTTTGGTGTGATACAGCAAAGTGATTTTTTTTTTTCAATAGGAAGAAAAGAAAAGAAATGTCTGATTTATCAGTGATGAAAGTCATGACTTGTTTTAGTCCTAGATGAGATTTTCATGCTCCCGTTAGAGCTGCGGCTGGAGGCGTTATGTTTTCAGGCTATCCCTCCATCTGTCCCGTTCTCACAATTGTGATATCTCCTGAGGAATTTCAGATTTGACCCAATAGTTCACTTAGACTCGAGAAAAACCAATTAAATTTCAATTCAGCATTTTATATTCAAAGAGGTCACAGGTCAGCTACCTCGTGATGTCACAATGTTGCCAAAACCATCAACTCTTCAGATCATTATTCACCATCATAGCTGCAGAGATTGTGTCCCTAACTGACGTTTAGAAGGATACTAAATTGATGATACTAGATTTATTTCTCCTAAAGTTTTCACTGCATCTGTTATAAGAGTTTCCCTCCAAGTATTAATGGTAAATGTTGTTCTATGCCAATTTAAAAAAAAAAAATAAAAAAATTGTAACATTTGGTCACATACATCCAAGTTATTCTATCGCATAAATAACAAGGGTTTTTTTTTTCTTTAGCTGAAACCACAAATGAGGAGTTGTTAAGGGAGTGTTTTCAACAATGACAATGTGTTAGTGTCTCGAATGTTCAGTAATTACAACTTTTGTTTCTTTATAGTGAAATGAGTATAGAGCAGGGGTGGGCAATCTCAGTCCTCGAGGGCCGGTGTCCCTGCAGGTTTTAGATGTGTCCTCGAACCAACACAGCTGATTTAAATGGCTAAATTAGCTCCTCAACAACATGTCCCGAAGTTCTCCAGAGGCCTGGTAACGAACTAATCATGTGATTCAGGTGTGTTGACCCAAGGTGAGATCTAAAACCTGCAGGACACCGGCCCTCGTGGGCTGAGATTGTTCACAGCCCATGAACTGTCTGTATGCTGCTGTGCTTGGCGATTTAGGGCCCAAACATCTTTCTTTTCACTCTGTTTAAACTTGAAGTACTGTTTTAACTTCCTGACCTTCTGACTCTTAATCTGGCTGCCACGGCTCCCTGCAGCTGCCAGATTGCTTGCTTCCTGCTCAGAGATGTGGGAAAACACACACAAAAACCCACCTGTCCTTATCAGCTGTTTGTGTCTTTGCTAGGTCAGCTGTCAGCACAGTGTAAGATGTTGAGATCACTGGGCAGAGTGTGCTAACTGTTTTGCTGACATGTAATATGCTCTCTGGAGGTTGGTGCTTGTTAGTGTTGTACTGCGAGGTGTGTATGTGTGTGGGGGATGGTGAATGAACTACCACTGTTGGCAATAATCTCCTGTGCTTGTTTTGCAGATAAATATGCTGAGTTTGACCTGAACGACCAAGGAGAGATTGGTGAGTAAAAAAACAACCCAGATAACAACTGTCGCTCAAGCCCATGTTGACATGAGACAACAGTAATTAATACTGTGTGTGTGTTGTCTGCCCCCAGTGGGCGCAGGATTTAAACAGGCTCATGTTACTTTGCTGTGTGCTGCATGGGAAGTGAGACTGTTCTGTCCATTGTTGTGGAAGGTTTTGAAACAGGTGTGGGGCCAACTGTAGTGTCAGGATCTGTTTGCGGTTCCTAAAACAAGCTCCTGTATGTCCTATAAAACTTCCCCAGTCAGCAAAATATCTCTGAATATTAGCCCCTATTCAGTTTTCTGGTCTCTGCACAATTAATATTGGTTTTCCATAATTTTGCACAGATATCTTTGTGATTCAGAAGCACTTTTACCAAATCATTACAATGTATTTTAAACTCATTCCAGCTGAAATAAATGGTATTTCTGTCAGAAGCAGACATTATAAAACTGTTAGACAGAAACGATCTCTGTGTGATAAATGTTTGAAACTTTCTGTGTAAATTTAGTCAAGTCTATTGTAGGTGTTGATGTAATTTAGCGTTTTTGAAAGTTTTTTTCTTTTCTTCATATTATTGTGGAAAAGAAAGACTTGTACATAAATAGGAAAGCAATTCACCTTTTTCTGCTAATCGTGGATCCATTTGTCAACTCCACTTTGTCTCAGATCTGATGGGTCTCAAGCGGATGATGGAGAAACTGGGAGTGCCCAAGACCCACTTGGAGTTGAAAAAAATGATCGTGGAGGTGACAGGCGGCAGCAGCAACACCATTAACTACAGGGACTTTGTCAAGATGATGCTTGGCAAGCGCTCAGCTGTGCTCAAATTGTAAGTAAACCCCCTTTTAGTGTGTGTGCATGTGTGTTTGGGGTTGTTTTTGTTTTTTTTAACAGTGATATTTTGTTTAATGTACGACTGTGTGCTGGTTCATTGCTTGTGTTCACATGTCTAATAGGGAGGATATGAACTGTGTGCTGTGTCAGCCAATTGCTTCCTTAAACAGCAGGGGGTTCAGGGATGACAAGGGATGATGTCACAGCCCACATGCTGCATTGGCTGCTAATCAGCATGATAACAAAACCCATCTCGGTAGCCTATCCATAGTCAGCTCATCCCTCTCTGTAGTGGGGATCCTAATCTTAGGGTACTGAGAATAGGCTGATTAACCACTTATGGTTGCATAGGCCTGACAAAGCCACCAAAATTTACCATACTGTGTCATTAAAATGTACCCTTTACAATAGAAATGGTGTCTATAGAATATGTAATTACAACTTTTTCATGCTCCCCAGTGGATAAAGTGGTGCACCTGTTTTTAAATGTGTTAATGTAGCCAGTGTAAGCCTTTTAAAGCAGCCTTGCACTAGGTCAACCTACAGGAGCTAGAGCCTGTAATGGCTGCTGCGTGTCAGCTCTGCTGGACTAAGCTGGCTGGACCCTTTAGCAGACAAATCTTATAATCCTGAAAAACAGCAAGCAGAGAAAATGCATAGCATTTCCTCCTCACTTTTGAACAACACTCAAATGTTGTTCAAAAGTGTATCCCATAATCCCACAGCTGCTATTTATAAACATTTAAATCCCTTCCTGCTTCTCTTGTCTGCTTGCTGATATTCTAGTAACACTGTTGTTGCATCCAGAAATAACATTGATCATTATCAGTATTTGGCTACACTTTCTAATATATGTAATACATGCATATCATATTTCTTGTTCTACAGAAAAATGAAATAATTATCTGTATGGTTAACTACTAACTAGGGGTGCAACAATACTCGTATCGATATTGAACTGTTCGATATATCGGTTCCGTACGCATATGTATCGAACAATACAAAATGTTTTATTTTATCAACTTTTCTTCTGACGATGCTGTCTGTGTTGAGCGCTCAGTGGATCTGCGTTTGACTACTCCGCCTAGGCTCCACTGTCGAGTGCAGATCCACTGCGCGGAGCGCAAGCTAGCAAGACAGAAGCTAAGCTCGTTGCAACATGGCAACTTCCTCAACGCTACCCGAGATTGAGCCTCCCCCACCCTCGTTCAGATCTGGCGTTTGGAACTATCTTGGTTTTCATGTGAAGCATGACCCTGATGGTAAGCGCGTCATGGACAAAAGTAAAACAGTATGTCGGATGTGCCACGCAATGCTCAATTGGTGGGAACTAGTGCGTTAGCGCAGTTAGCTTGTTAACGTGTTGACGCCGCCCAGCCCCACGCACGGGGCGATCCGCGGTAACTCGTTAACAGAGATTTGCCGCGTTATGGCATTAATGTCATTTTAACAAAATTAATGCTGACAGCACTAGTGGGAACACAACGAATATGACTGCACATTTACGCTGACATCATCCTAGTGCAAAGACAAGTGGAAGCACACAAAACAACAAACTTCACCCGAGTCATTTAGACAGCTGTTGGCACACGATTCTCCTTATGGGACCTGATGTTTAATATGCTGCTGAGACTATACCTCAGAAGGAGCGTATAGTATAGCTTTTATTTCATGTGGGTTTTTTGTTTTTTTTGGGGGGGGGGTCTCGAGAGGATATGAGAGGGAGAAGCTGAGGCCACGGAACAGCTTTAGACTGATGTTATTCAAAGCATTTGGCAGGACAATAATTGATTTTGGTTGTAATTAGAGGGCAATGAATGACACCAAGCTCCGCTACTGGGCTAGGTTAGTGTTAGTGCAGTGCACAAGTACAAAAGAAGACACAGTCATAATTTGTTAGACCAAGATTTTGATTGACAAATGAGCCGTGTAGGGATTTGTTAAAGGTCTTGCAGGAGAGCAGCAAAGGAAACCTTGCTCTTTGAAGAGATAAGTGTAATGGAGTCTTTATCAGATAATAAAGTCACACTGATTAAACAACACACATAGATGCCATAACATTAAACAGTCTGTTCAATGTTATTGCAGCTGGTCTGGCTGCACAGGCATCAAAGTCCACGTGAGTCGCTCCCTTTAAAACTATTGGCCATCTGCTATTAAGATGCCAGAATTCCCACCTCAACCCCTTTTAAAATATGCTTGCACTTTGGGTAAAATACAGATGTGTGCTCATCTCTGTAAAAATCACAAATCCTTATGCTGACAAAACATGGTCACAATGGTCATGAAAACTCTTCAGTTCAAACATTACATTGATGAATATTAGTGGTGACGGGTAGAATGGCAGACAAGTCCTAAGTGTGAAGAAAAATGAGTGAGAGTAGTGGTCAGAGGAATGTGCCAGAGTTTGAGTTGCTGAGTGCCTGTTTCGTCACTGGGATCATTACTCCTTATGAGCTTACTGGAGCTTTGCAGAGTTTTCCAAAAAAGGAAGTTAAAGGCAGGCATTTGCTCTGAATAGCTCTTGTCAGATCACTCACTGTGCTGTGTCCAGTCTGAACCACTGTTGCCTTCGGTCCTTTTGTGGTTTCCTTTCATTCCATTCCTTTCACTTATTGCTCAGCTGCTTCTTGCCTGACTGCTACATCCTGTGTCTACTGTCAGTCTTTTAAATTTACATCTAAATTAATATTTTACAGTCTTTATGCCTCTCTCCGTGGTGCTGAAGGGAACATGCCAAGGCACTTTATTAGGATCTTGCTAGTACTGTTTTGCCTTGAGAATTGTCCTAATTCTCCATTTCACAGATTCAACAAGGTGCAGAATAATTCCTGAGATTTAGCTCCATATTGACATGATAGCATCACGTAGTTGTGGCAGATTTGCCAGTTGCACATCTTTGGTGTGACTCTTATTTTACTACATTCCAATGCTCTATTAGATTGAGATCTGGTGATTTTGGTGGTCACATTGAACTTGCTGTCATGTTCAAAAACCCAGTTTAATATGATTTGAGCTTTGACATGACAGATTATCTTGTCTTCTGAAGATGTGTGGTCATAAAGGGATGGAGTTGGTCAGCAACAATACTGTGGTGTTTTAAAAGTTGCTCAGGTGGTGCTAATTGGTCCAAAGGTTGTGATGAACACGTTTCCCACACCTTTACACCACTAGCCTAAACTGTTGATACAGGGTAGAGTTATGCTTTTACGGGCAAATGTTGCAGAAACCAACAGACCAGGCAGCATTTATCCAAACTTCTGTCCGGTTTTGGTGAGTCTGTGTCAATTGTTGCCTCATTTTCCAGTTCTTAGCTGACAGGAGTGGTCTTCTGATGCTGTAGCACAGCTGGTTCAAGGTTTGCCCTGTTGTGCATTCAGGGATGTTCTTTATTATTCTTTGTTAAAGTGGTTATTCATGTTGCTCTGGGCTTCCTATCAGCTTAAAGCAATCTGGCCATATTCCTCTTATATTAACAACAGATTTTCATCAACATTTATTGGATATTTTCTTTCAGACCATTCTTTGTAAATCCTACAACTGGTTGTGTGGGAAAATCCCAGTAGATCAGCCTTTAAAAGTGAAATACCCAGACCAGCAACAACCTGTCATGTTCACACTCTCCTAAATCACCTTTGTTCCCCTTCTGAGGCTGGGTTTGAACTTCAGATAGCCATGTTCATCATATTTACATGCGTAATTGCATTGAGCTGCAATTACGCATGGTGACAATGATGTAAATACTGCTCTGCTGGTCCTGTGATGGACCTATAGAGGGTGCAACTTCCCTGCTGGGATACGCTCAAATTAACATTAAATGGAGATCTTGTGTTAACTGCCCATGACTCATCTCTCTCCACAGAGTTTTGGTTTTTGAAGACAAAGCCAATGGCTCTCCCTGCAAGCCGGCCGGACCCCCTCCAAAGCGGGACATCGCTAGCCTTCCTTAAGTGTCAGGCCTCCATGCTGCTAAAGGAGCTGAGGGACCATCAATAGCTATGTGGAATAATGTGGAGTGTCGTGTTCATGTGGGACCAGTGATCAAGAACGTCATTTTGTGAATATATGATGTGTGTGAGTTTTCTGTTTGAAAGACTGAGCCCAAAACTCACTAAAATTGTTTGACTGTGAATATTTTATTCCTCTTTTTTTCCCCTCCTTTAATTAAAATGTAGCAGTGATAATAGTAACTTGTAATCAGCTTGATAAATTACATTTTGTAGTGTGTTTCATGGTTGCATTTTAAGGGAAGACTTAAAATTCTCCAGAGGTCTCTTTTGCTTCCACGGTCCGTTTCTTTTTTTTCTTTTTGACACATTGATTTTAATGATTTAGAGCACTATGCTTTTGGAAAAGCACAAGGAAAATGAACAGTTTATTCCAACACATTTTTGCACTCTTCTTAGCACTCTTTCATGCATTCCTGCCAGGCTTATCTTGGTCAACATCTTCGCTTCAGATCAGATGCCAGAGATTTCAAGCCCTACCCACTTCCTCTGGGTCTAAAGCCCCTTTTGAGTCAAAGTACTGATCTGGAATGAGTAACCAAGTTATCATTCCTACTTTATGATATATTAAAAAAAAAAACACACTGGTGTACATGTGTGTACTTGCTGTACTTTGTGAGTCACAATGTTAGTAAAAGGATAAGGCATGTTGTTGACTTTCAGTGTCCTTGTGTGGCTTGAAAAGCAGTAAATATGACTCTATTTAGAACCGCTAGTCTAAGTTTGACATACAGGCACGCAAGCAGAACAGATGTACATATTATACTACACATCGTACAATCATATTATTTCCAAGTGCCTCAAAATGCAGATACTGTAGAGCTTACACAGTTTGGAGGAGGGAGTGCACACTAGTGTTCAGTTCAAGCAGTCCTTTTAGTGTATGAATTCAAGAAAACCGTGAGATGCTATCATTTAGTGTTTGGTGAGAGTTTTAATGATGTTTGTTGAAGTGTCTGATGTAGTTTTTGTTACTGGTTTCCACAATATTCTGAGTGAGTGAGGTTCACATATGGTGGATTTATTTTTTCTGTTCTTTTTTTTTTCTTCCCCCTTTTCTAACCATTATTTTGTATGCCACTGAAAAAATGTAACCTGATATTGGGTTATTTGTCTTTGTCGAGTTGTCTTCCTCATATTGTTCCATAAGCCAGCCATTTATCTCTAACATGGTTTCTTCTCCTACATGTTAAGTAATTTATGACTGTGTTTGTCTCCCCAGTATAAATGTTCTTTTAACAAACAGTATTTACTGTGAAATTGGTACTTTGACACATAACATGTTTTAACACCATTATGATACTTTGTCTTTCGTCTGGTGGTTATTTTACATATTTAGTGTTGTTAAGATACACATTGTTTTGCCGACGCCAAAGCAATTAAAAGTCTTCTTACACTGGGCACAAGTGTTGAGTTGTTCACTGTGGAAAAACTTGTCTTAAACTGGTAAGATTTTAGGGTTAGCAAGTTTCAGATGGTTAGTTTTGTAAGTATTTGAACAGTGATAGTTTTTGTAACTTGGCCTTTGTACAGGAGCCCAGTGGATTCTTAAATCAAAGGAAGTGATTTAAGTGCTGACTTCTTGCTTTAATAAAAATGGTTCAAAAGTATTGCATTAACCACTTTTACATCTGAATCATAGCACATCATTTGTCAGAAAGTGGAGGCACGTTATGCATGTATGGCTGTAGGTGTAACTAGAGTTTCCTGATGATGTGAATGCTGATAAAACCAGCAAGATGAAACCTGAAGTGTATCGGGCTATAACACCTGCTCAGATTCAGCCAAATGTTGCGAAACAGATCAGAAAGCAACACTTGTTTCTCATCACCAAGAAATTAGATATTCAGGGGTCAAGTCAGCCCAACATATGCTTGCTTTTCATTTACTGAAATAAAATGGAAGGCAGAGGAGACCCCCAAAGGAGCAGAAACTGAAGGTGTAACATATCAAGAGAGGAAGCCATCATTTAAGTATGTCAGTGGTTTCAAGGCCATAAGCAATAATTGACTGCAAAAGTGAGTCAGGCAGAGGCCCTGGTAGTACTTTCTCCAGCTATTAAGGTTTGGCTTTTGGGACACGTCTTCTGAATCTGAGCTAGTTGAGGTCGAGAGACACCTAGTCGCCTCACCTCAATGCATGGCTTGGATTCTCATGGAGAGAGGCTGGACTCCAACCTGGAGTTGCCCTCAGTGAGAGGCGGCGGGCAGGGGAAGGTGTCCTTGTATCCTTTTGGCTTGCTGCCTGTAAGTTGAAGCCTGGCTGTGCGCTGGGAAGGTGTAGCAGAGGCCCCCATCCCATAACTCCCACCTCAACAGCATTCGGGGGGGGGGGACCTTATTATAATATTAAACATTATTTCAGATTGTCCAACTCTGGAAATTGAATGCTATGTAGAAACATGGCTGTAATTCCTAAACAGTTTTGTGAAACTGCTTGAATTACAGACGAAAGTCTGCACTTTGGATTAGAATCTAGCAGCAGCCACACAGCAACAGATTTCACTTGATAAATAGTAATTTTATCTCGCTACAGTACATTCAAAGGTGAGTGTCCTTGAATGGCACCACAGTCATAAAGATTGGCAGACCATGAAAGTGGGAATCCTTATGCTAGATTACAGCACATCCTTTGTCTTAGTGCTGACAAATGCAGAAAAAGGTGATATATTATCTAATTTGGAGATATCCATGTCCGTATTGCATGGACACACACACAAAAGTGATGTGTGTTACCATAAGAGAATCTGGGTGTACACACTAAGTTGGGTCATTGTCTCAGTGCATTAGGCTACTTGTTTGTCCTCACGAGCTTTTCGTTTTGCTTGTTTTCACGAACAGGTAAAATAACGTGAGCATTAACAGTCCCTTAAACTGGTCTGAATGTGTTGTGCTCTCTGTATGAAATGTGAGGCCCATTCACTTTCCTTGTTAGGGGGGAGAGCAGCTGCCTGTGTGTGGAACAGAGTAGAGGATAATGAGCAATACTTTAACAAGCATGCAAACAGGCGGGCCCAGTAGGATTATAATAAGCCTGTCTCTAATTAAAATGATAACCACTGTTGCATGTAATAAACTGTCAGGAGCTTATGGTAGCATAGTGGAGGAAGATGAATTTGCTGGCACTGCTGGGTTTCTCTTTAATCAGAATCAGAATCAGAATACTTTATTGATCCCTGGGGGAAATTATTTAAAGACACCGATCCGCAGGCCCGTATTCGGTCTTCAATAACAAAACTATTTTTTGCCACTTTTTGTTGCACACCATAATAAATTTTGCCTTAGCTATGTGTGTATGAGATTTAGGGCACTGCAGGGCAGCATAAAGCAGCATATTCATCGTCTGTCTCCTTACCAGATCCTGCACAGACATCGCCATCTATTGGACAGTCCAAGTTATGGCATGGTTTCTATCCTTTGTTGGTAAAAACGCAATGTAAAAGTGAAACGTGAAAAATAAAAAGGGGATAACTGGTGGTATAAAAGCAAAGTCACATACAGGCTGTAATGAACCAATAGACTGTCACTAATTAAACATTCATAGAAACACACTTATGAAAATAGAAACATTCAGCTTTTGGGAAACTTGGCTAGCTGCTCTGCTTTCTTAGTACTTTTCCTGCTGGAACCACATTATAAACCTGACATGTTGTTCAAGTGTCATTAATTTAATATGCATTGTTTCTCTTTACAACGTTTTTATTTATTTATTTTTGCATTTAGCATCCTTGCAGTATCTGGTTGGTGCCTTTAATTGTCACGTGGACACGTAACCCACTTTGGCATATGACATAACTAACTATACAACTAAATGCGTTTATTGTGTATATATGTCTTTTTCATTGAGCTGCCACAATCATCTGGATGACATTTAAGTTTGCTATGGTGTGAAATGTAACTAGAGCCCCAACGATTTATCATCAGACTGATATTTTCAGGCGATATTATCTATTATCATCTAGCATTTATAATGACTGTAAAATGAAATATTAAAAAAGTGAAGAAGAGACGGGAGAAACACTTCAACCAAGCTATGGATGTTGGTGTTTTACACTTTTTGTCCACCAGAGGCCACTCTGTAACTTCTCTGTTAACAACTTACCTTTGGATACAACCAGCTGATCAGAGCAGAGTGGGGCCTAGATTAAAGAAGTAAAGAAATCCCTAGACATAACAAATATTTGGGCAATTTATTTATGTAGGTGCCAGAAAGAAAAACAAATATGGACTGGTATATCAAGCTATTGGATTTTTTTTTAAAATTCTCAAATAGTGATGTCTTAAAAATCTTATATGGGTCAGGCTCTAACTGTAACCCATGACCTGCTTAGTGGATGCAAACAAACAAAAATACTGCAATAAGATATGAAGCAATACTTATACAAAACTGACAACAATATTGTATTATAATACAATATTGTACTAACAATACAATACTGTTCCTGCAGTTGGTGTCTTCAAGAACATACTTTCATGTGATGACACACGTTTGCAAAGATTTGTATGGTTAAAAAAACAAACAAACAAAACGTGGCCAGTTTACCCTTCTTAGTGCCCCTCAGATACAGTGCTGTTTGTGTCTGACAACCAGTAGTATATAGCTGTCATGATTATATAGCTGACACCAGCCACCATAACATATTTGATAATACTTTTTTAAAGAAAACTTCAAAAACTTATTTTTGGTGAGCTTCAAGTGATAATATATCATATATATCATATGATATGTTATCACTTGTTGACAGCACTGCAAACCCTTAGCTTTCTCTCAGTGAGCTTCATGATGCAGTCACCTGAGTTGGATTTCACTTCACAGGTGTGCCTTCTCTGGGTTCATTTGTGGGATTTCTTGCCTTCTTAATGGGGTTGGGATCATCAGTTGTGTTGTGTTGGTACATAGCCCTATTTCACAACTGTTAACATTCATGTTATGGCAAGAACCAATCAAAAAGATATAATATAATCCATTTAATATAATGTTTTACTTTGTAATTATGTAACCAAATTACACTGAATTCTTCTTCTTTCTTTTTTTTTTCTTTTTTACATGTAATCAAATTACTTTAAATCATCATTTTGGGTATCTTGAGTGCAGTACTTCTGGGATGTATACTGAGTTCTCTGTGTGCTAAGAAGCTCAATCAAATACCTGTTATGTGTACTGCAGTGAGCCAGATCCCTACATACTGAGACTCAAACTGCATACAAAGTACAACATTCACACTTGCAAAAATACACTAAGTGTCACTGACAGGACTTTTGGTACTCACTGTTAATTCCTACCAGAATTCTCAAGGGAGTCATGGTAACTGTTCACCAAGCCTTTCTTTTTTTTTTTTGAAATAATCACTGACTGAACAAAACCTGTATTTTTCAGTTTGTACTTAAGAAAAATAATAATAATTTTAAAAAAAAGGGCAGTGAAAGATTTTTAAGATCTTTCAGGTTCATTGTCCCATGCTTTAAACATGAGTCCTGACACTCCTTAGAACCATAATCCGTGTGGTCATGCATTACTGTCAGAGTTTTTCTCCTCCTGACCAGTTCATTGAAATTCCCTGCATGTCTGTAAGGCTTTTTCATGCTTCAGGTCTTGACATACAGTAGGAGTGGTTCTTTACAAGGTTTATGGAGTTTTGTAGTCAGACTACACAGCAAGGTCAAACTGTCTTTTTTCCTCTCTTGCTGGATATGTTTGCATATTAAATGTAGCATAGTTTAACAAGTATTTCAAAGACTTTTTACTCCATAAAATGAATAATTACAATTGTTGTGAAATCTGGTTCCCATGAATATTGTGCACATCTTTCTGTTTCTAGACAGTTGAGTGTCCTTTCTTCTTGTAATCTACCATATTTACCTTTGAAAGGTTTCAATATTTTTAACAGTTAACAATAAGTGCAACAAATACTGCAGAGTGGGATGATGGCAAAATATATATCCACCTCATAAACAAGAGCCTAAAACCACAACTATGAACTGGATTCGCCATGTTGCAGAACTGAATAGTATAGGGGAAAGAATGGTGCATTATATATTTACTCCAACACAATCGAGCCATATTTACTGATCTTCATGCTATGACTCATTTCAACGTGATTTTTCCAGCATGAATTATGGACCAGGAGTCATATTTCAGCAGAGTTTGCTGATTCATTCGCCACATTGAGCTTTCTGCTTCCAAACAGTGCTGTGCACTATCTACATTAAAATGTTCCTTCACCTGTACAGTGTGCCTTAAGTATAAACCCACAAAACCTGATTGTGTCACCAGGCAACAGAAATCTGTGGATACAATAAGCCTGTTTAATTTGCCCTTGCTGAAGCGGCATTATTGTAATTTGGATAGTTTGGACTGGAGTGCAGCTTTTGTTTATATACTTTTTATGAAGTTAACAAGGT